GCTGCTAATGAATTGGCCGCTAATGAATGTATCTTTGCAAAATGACTGATTTAAAATAAAAATAATAATGAAATATAACAATAGTGAGAGGCTTTGGCCCGTCCATCCACCCTGATCTCCTCCTTTATAACCTTCTCCTTTAAAGGCATGTTTTCTTCACAAAATTGCCCAAATTACACCTTTTATCAAAGCCAGAAACTGTGGAAATATAAATTAAAGGTTCATTCACCATCAGAAAGCTGTGGATCTGATAAATGTGGTTCAGTCGTCACCGGTTCTTCCAGCTGTGCTCGTTCTAAACCTCCTTAAACCCTGATCTTCTCCTAAACTATCCGAGTTGCTTCAGAGCCTTTATTTAACCAAACCTCTGCTGTCACATCGTCAAGCGGCCGGTTCGGTGTCACTCGCTCTCGTTCTGGTTGGAGACAAGCGAACCCATCGGACCGGATGTGTCGATGCAAACGCCAGCGTCAGCCGTTCCGCTTCGTGATTTTGGCAAATCAGCGATAAAGCTGCGTTAGCGAGTGATTTTCTCGGCGGATCAATCTGTCATCTCGGTGCAGACGAGCTCTCAGACTGACAGCTCGTCTCGCGGCGGCAGGAAGCGCATAAATATATTAACGCTGTTTTTTTCTCGCCGCGTGTTTGATATCGAGTATATTTAGGTTTGTTTCTCATTAATTTTTGGCACTTTTCCCTCGTCTTGGTTGTGGAGGTGATTAAAGCTATTTTAAGGGACTCGGCGTGAACACTTATCGACGTCTGAGGTGAAGGTGGAATCACACCGATAGCAACAATCTGCTGATTAAAACCTTCTCTTCACAACTTATGATGGAAAACGTCGCCCCGATTGAATAATATCGACTTCATCTCTGCTTCTAGTGTCGGAGTTTGAAGAAAGACGTAAACCTGCGGATGACACTTCTCAATGAAAGGCTCTTTAACTTTTAGATAAATGATCTCACAGGTGTTTCTGCTTCACTGTGGCTCATTGTTCTCTGCAATAAGAAGTCCTTTATGGAAACAGAACAACTCCATGAACTCAGAGATGTCCTTCCAGCTTCAGCTCTGACAAACCAATCGGTGCTCAGTGATGGAAAACAGTTTCCCCATAAAAAAAAAAACAGATTAAAAGCTCAGATAAACTTTAAAGCACAGCGATGTTCACCAGACAGTCCTCTGGTACGAGCCTGAACGGAACAGACGTCCATTTATTTGTGAGAGTCTTTAAGTTTTGATGTCTTTGCCGAGTCTTTTCCTGCTTCTGTTGATCATCGAGTGGATCATTTAATATAAAACTACAATCGTCTGCAGCAGTCTGGAGCAAAAACAGAACATATGAAACTCAACCCAACAGAAACTGATGCAACGCTGCAGAGAAACCAGGAGGACGTCGTCTGTCTGCACATCAGAGCAGGACGGGACGCGCTTAAAGACAAAGCTTATAAATATGTAGCTTTGGTTCACAGAAATGAGTTTTCGAGGCTTTAAATCGACAACAGGACTTTAAAAAGAACTTCTCTGAACTTTCACATAAAAATTCAAACAGCCCCGAGTCGTCCTGTTTTTAGTTTTATAACCTCTTCCCCAAACTATTACCGCGACCGGCCGAGCGTCGCTAAATGCAATGAATTTCTGTGTGTTTTAGAGGCGCCGGCCGGCGGTGTGAAGCCGACATTATTCAGAAAAGCTCTGAAATACATTTTACATCAGCAGGATGGACAAGATCAAAAACAACCTAAACCTGACCTGTGCTCTTGATTTTATTCTTTTATAAAAGTGCTTTTTTCTTTTTAACACTTTCGTAGATGTTCTCGGGAACATTTTATGCAGATTTAAAACTGCTTTAATTAAACTGCGTTTTGACTGAACCTTCAGACTGCCGGTTTCTGAGCTGAGTTTAAGAAAAGGATCGTCTTTGAACCGTCGAACGCTTTCCTCTGAGACGCCACTGAGTCTGAAAAAGTCCAGTTTAGTAAAAGATGCGTTCGATGCTGTAGATCCTCATGTTCTGGTTCGGTGTCTTAAATTAATTATGGCAAAACAAAACCGATTATAAGTCATAAAAGGAGTCGATGACCAACATTTGGAACCGATGTCGGAGTTTTTTAAACAACCTTGGTGTCAAAATTTAGAAGAATATGAAAATCCAGTGTAAAAATCTATTTTTTATGCATGTTTTGCATAATTGAAAGAGAAAATGTCAACATTTATCCTCCAGTTGCTGCTCAGAACCAATCAGAACTTTTTGTTTTTTACAGACTCATGTTAGAGCAAATTCATTTTCACTAAAACAAGTAAACAAAAGGCGTTCTACGGCCACTGATCAACAAAACAGACCCAACATGGCGTCCCACAGGGCTCTACCTTAGGCCCAGTAGTTTTTAGTCTATATCTTACCGCTATTAGGAATCAAAACGACGATTTCAGTTCAATCAACGTCTTGTTTGCAGGCGTCTTTAAATCCATGGATAACACGTTTACCACTAGGGGGCGTAACGGTGCACAAAAATCATGTTTGTTGTGTCACATTTTCAGGTGAGCACAGTTTGTAGCAGGATGCTAAGGGTTGCTAAAATCTCTTTATCGATTATTAGCATGAAAAAATGTAAGTTGGAACCCCTCATTTTCTCACAGTGTCAAATTACTATTATTAATTATTATGTAGGAAAATGGCGCTAGCTGGGTTGGGTTTTAAAGATACGTAATATTAATGAGCTTTTATTGATCCCACAACAGCAACAATCAGTGCAAACATTGAGGGAATATCAGTAGAAATGTAAAAAATAAACCAGAAATCTATATAAATTCAGATTCCTCTGGATGGAAATGACAATCCTGCACATATGAAAGGAATCACATGGATGGAAGAGAAGGATTATTGTTGCTCAGGTAGAAGAATTTATTACCTCGGATCAGATTGGGGCGAATAAACTCGTTTCTTATTATGATATTTATCATTATTGTGACGTCGTCTGTGTCGGGTTTGAGGGAATAAACATTCACAACCTCCTCGAACATTCAGACGTTGACGCACATGTCCTGTTTGTCAGCCTCCTCCTGACGCGCTGCGTTCAAAGGCCGGCTTTAAATGAGAGGAGCTGCTCCGCTCTCACCTGGAGGACCGTAATTTGATTGGCTGCCGAGGAGGAGGAGGCTGCAGCTCATCCTGGTCAAGTGGTCATTATTTATCTCCGGCAGCGACACACAAACACACAGACTCACACTCACGCAGCGCTAACAGCTAGCAGCAAACACGCCGCCGCCGCCGCCGCCTGACAGCAGTTTGTACTCGACAGAAGATGTGGAGGTGAAGAGGTCACTGGTTGCTCCGGGGAGATTGGATCTCTGCAGCTAGATTGCATTTCGGCATCCAAGGCCTCGTTCTGGTACCGACGAGAGCCGACAAATCACAAAGAGCAACCACAGAGAAGCATGTTTGAAGCCTCGTGGGGAGAGTCTGGACTCGAGCAGAACCGTTGGACGGACGGGAAATGAGAGGTTCATGTACAGCAGAGTGAGATTTAACCCAACAAATCAACAGAACCACACCTCAGTCAGCAGAAACTACAAACAGAGAGAAACACTGATCGTCAACATGAGCCGAACCTGAGCCTCGGACCAGGACAGTTCATCAGAATCCGTCCCATTTAAAAACCTGCTTTGGTTCTGAACAGGTTCTGTAAACAAAGAAAAGTTCTGCGATCCTCTGTGTGACCGAACAACCACGACCGACTGAGCTGTGATCAACAAACTGGACTTTTATTTAACCTCAGTTTAACCCTCTGGACCTAAAAACCTGCTGCGAGTTAAAGTAACGCCCACTTACAGCACTGATCAGAACCAGAACCAGAACCAGTCACAACAGCTAAAAATGTACAGAAACAGGAAGAACTGTCAGAGTTTGACATTTAACTGTCCTTGAACGCATCATGTGGGACTTTTTATCTGCAAAAAAATAACAAATCTGAGCTTAAAATCATCAATAAACATGATTCTGTTTAAAATGTGCAAAAAGATTTTAAAAAAGTGTTTTAATCAGATGATATAAAACAAAAAACAAATAACAAACAAACAAATAATCAACCAAGAAGCCAAAAGTGACTGAGCATCAGGCAGGAGACAAAAAACAGAGTTAGAGAAGAACGATTTAAATGATCAGTGATCAAACATCTGCTCATGGATCCACTCATCCTGCAGCAGGTTCCATCAAAGCAGCTTCATCTGAGCAGAACCTCAGCAGAACTCACCAACATCAGCCCTCAGTCGACCTGCTGCACTAAAAAAATAAAAAAAAAGAATAAAAAATCCTCATTGAACCTCTACAGAAGATTCCCCTCAACGTCCACCTGCAGCAGACGAAGACAGAAGCTGGAGATGTTTCACCAAAAGCAGCTGATCTGATCCTAAATCAGCAGAATTCATCAAAAACACTTTATTCTAAATGAAGCCTTAAAAACATCAGCTGCAGGAAATAAACCAGTTCTGTAAAAAAAAATAAAAATAAAAAAAGAATAAAAATTCCAGCATCCTCACTGAAACAATGAACCCAACCAGCAGTCAGCAGATCAGAACTGCTGCCCCCGGACCGGCACAGCGACCGAATATTCGGATATTCGGGTCCAGCCCGACTGCTCACGGATCCGCTCTGATCCAAAGCAGCTGATCTGAGCAGAACATCAGCAGAACTCATCAGCATCACTTTGTTCTAGATGTTGAATTAAAAAAATCAGCTGCCAGACATAAACCAGAACTCCTCACCGGAACCGAAACCAGCCAGCAGGCAGGAGGCTTCAGGACGTTCACAGCAGCAGAGGAACCAGGAGGATCCATAAAACACCAGCAGATCAACATCTAGTCATGGAGCCCGGTGGAGATGTTCTGATCCACATGTTCTGATCCAGATGTTGTGACAGCAGCTCAGAGCTCAACACCCACACACACGAACACAACAAACACACACACGGACACACACACAGCCAGAGAGCAGCGGGACTCACCCAGAAGAGCAGGTTGAAGAAGACCATCCCGTACCTCAGAGCCATCATGCAGCCCTCAGCCATCCTGCAGCGGCGCAGTTCTAGGAGGAAGATGAAGGACAGGTCCAGGTAAAACACCACGTACTTCTTGCCCTGCGCGTAGCGCCCCTTGGCCGTCTGCGGGCCCTTGGTCGTGTGGAAGCCGAACGCGAACGGCGGCCGCTTGTACTCGAACTCCCCGCTGAAGCGGTGGAAGCCGGAGGTGAACGGCGGCGTGTCGGGCTTGCTGTCCAGGGACGGGCTGCGCCGGTACGGGGTCTCGTCGGTGCTGGAGCGCCGCATGGCTCCGCTCAGGTGCGACCGCGACTCACCTGGACGCTGGGAAGTGTGCAGCTGCTGATGGAGAGGTTCTGAGTCTAATCCCGCTGATAATCTGTGTGTTCAGGACATAATCTCTCTGATCCGTCCAGCACCGGCGGCAGGTTCGGACAGATAAGCTGCTGCCGCCGCCGCGGGCTCATCTCACCTGGGCTCGCGAGCAGGTGATCCGGACCCACCTGCTCGCCGACGGACGGCTGCTGCTGCTCACATGCACGGAGTGACCCGGTGGGACGGAGCCGGGATGCGCGGATGGAGCAGAGCCGCGGAGAGGCGCATGGAGCAGGGACGAACCGGTCCCGAACTCCGGCGGAGCTCCGGAGTGTCGGAGCGGAGCGGCGCCGCGTGCTGCTGCTGCTGCCGCCGCCTCTCGCTCTCTCTAGGCGGCCACGGAGCTCCGGGAGTCCTCGGGGGTCATGGCGGAGCGGCGGAGCGGCGCTGAGGCTCGGGACGGTTCCTCCAGCAGCCGGAGAACCACTGCAGTGTTGAGCGGCTCCAGCCCGGTGCCTCCTCCCTCCGTCCCCCCGCCCTCCCGGCTCTCTCTCACCGGCTCCGGTGCTCGCTCGGTCCCCCCTCCTCCCCCCTCCCCTCTCCGGTAGCCGTCCAGCGCGGCGGACACGAGCAGTCGTTCATATTGAGGCCACGCCCCCCGACGGGCCGAGCGGGCCAATCAGAGCGTCGCAGCGCCGACCTCCCTCGTGCACGCGCTCATCACGCCCCGCAATCCACCACATACGGCACGTGCATAGTGTGTGTGTGCGTGCACGGCGGTGCCGCGCTTCATCCGCTGCACTGTAAAAACTGATGAGCTAAAAAATCTGATCATAAATTAACTCGTTAATAAATACAAAAATAAAAAATATCAACACTGACAGAGAGTAACAATATGTACATTTATGTTGTAGCTGATTTAAATACAACAATTTATCATAATTTTTTAAAACTCAAGGTAAAAATCTGTAAAATTACGTTTTTTAAAAAAAAAATTCAACACAGGAACTGACTTTTTTTTTGAAATGTCAAAATACAAAAATATTCTGTAAAACAATTAACTTTTTTTATTTACTTCAAAAAACATTGTTAATGCAGACTTCATTTTCAGGGTTTTTCTTGTTTT